TTGCGATGAAACTATTATTATTATTATTTATCTTTATTAGGGAGGCTTTCAGCCTGGAGCTGGTTCGCCTCCACTCTGAGATGAAACTATTGAGTGTAGCTTTTTGATGTCTTGTAGAATGTTTCTTTATTTTTTAAGTAATTTATTTAAGTAGTGAGAATATTTGGTTAAGGAGGGTATACACTCAGATAAAAAAAAACTTTTTTATGTCTCGTTAAAATTGATGAACACCTATGGAAACATTGAAGATGAAGTCTTTTTAAGAAACTTTATCCCAGGTTTAAACTTTCTATCTCTCAAGTGGACGAAGTAGTACCCCTTAAAAAACGTTTTTTCACCATAACTTGTTTCTTTGAATTTTCTTGTTTTTTTAATATTCCACAAAGTTGTAAGTGCTTAAAAAATGCATATTTTTGCAGAAGACAGTAAATCGCTATCTCTTTGTTGAAAGGATTTACGCCAGTTTTTACAATTTTTTACACTATCTTTTAGGGGGGTGTACCTTGCTGGTTACCAGGTATTAGCAGCTAATGACAATGTCATTTTATTCAGCAACTTATACCCTACTGTTTCATATACAAATCATAAGGGGATCCAAGGGGATGCTTAATAAATTTTCATAAAATGTACCTCAACGTTTGTTACGTTGGTTTTGCTGTTTTCATGAAGATTTTTCCAAGTATATACATACACGAAGACAAAAAACGTGTTGCTTACTGTTAATTATGACAGAAGAAATCATTATGATGAACATTTGCACTAGCTATCAATATTAAATGGCAATTAAGCAGGTGATAAAACATTGATTCAAACTCTTTTGATTCTTGTTCGGTTACAACTTTTATTACAGTTGATCGTTCTCCTCCCAATTTTCATAGCTGGATGAACATGGCATCTCGTTCTTTAAAATACTCGGTTCTTTCGAAAACTTCAGTGCATCTCCTCTGAATGGAATGCTTTTCCTTCTTGGAATATTTCGCATTGATGAAATCAATGGGTCTGAAGACACTGTCAGTCGGCTTAAAATGTCTTGATTTGTGGCTACACTGTTGAATACAACAAAAAACATTAAGCTTAAATATGATTAGAAAATATATAAAAGCACATATCTGTACCGTGAACATTTCCTTGCCCGATGTTCTCGAAAGTTTTTTGATGTCCTTATTTCGGTATTCTTGAGGTTTTTCTGATAGAGTACCAACAGGAAGAATAGAAGCTTTTATAATGTCTACGCCGTGAATCAGAACACGATGTACGCTGGATGGCATTTTATACCAGCCGTATAGCTTCACATATTGTTGGGCAGTTTCAATGCAATGCAATGCATTAATTTCGAAAAACGTTTTTAAACCTTGGACAAAATTTCTTAAAAAGACTGCATCTTCAATGTTTCCATAGATGTTCATCAATTTTAACAAGACTTAAAAAAGTTATTTTTTTTATCTGAGTGTATACCCTCCTTAACCAAAAATTGTCACTACTAAAATAAAGTACTTAAAAAATAAAGAAACATTCTAGAAGACATCAAAAAGGTACACTCAATAGTTTCATAGCAAATAACCATGTCCTACTTTTTTTGATTTCGTCCCACTGTGCGAGGGATCTATTTGCATATTTCTCTACCTTTTAAGAATTTATTTAGCTGCATGTATTAAATTAAAGGGTGTACCGTTTAAAATCCGCACACACTCAAATTGCTCTAACTTTTGATCCGTAAGTTAAAATCAATTGTAATTTTGCGTAGACATAGTTTAATATGCATTGTTTACACCATGTGAGTTGATTTCATCTGGTAACGATAAACAGAATACGGTCGCAAAAAGCCGTTTCCGGAAGCTGTACGACCAGAAGTTAACGAAACCACACTGCTGCATAATGGATGAGAAGACATATATAAAGGCGGACTTCAACCATATTCCAGGAAACCTGTATGTGACTGCCAAGGATAAGTGTGATGTTCCCGAGAACCTCCGGACACAGAAGATGTCGAAGTTTGCCAAGAAGTTCTTAATTTGTACTTGCGGAAAGCGGACTACATCTTTCGTTACCGCAAGTACCATGAATCGGCAGGTGTATTTGGAAGAGTGTGTCCAAAAGCGGCTTCTCCCTCTTCTGAAGGCTCACGACGGTCCGACGATCTTCTGGCCGGATTTGGCTTCATGCCACTACACGAAGGACGTGCTAGAGTGGTATAATGATGTCGATTTCTTTCCGAAAGTTCTGAACCCCCCAAACACTCTAGAACTGCCCCCATAGAAAAAGTAGAAGGGTCTGTGCCTAGGGGCACGAACGGAAGCTTGACGTAGGACCGCTAGTAGACGGAATACATGTGAAGAGCATTTAGTTCTTTTAATTGATCAATTATCTATTATCTCAACTCTTTCCGTTTTTGAATTGTAGGCGGACCAAATTTGTAGTAATTTTTTTCAAAGAGAAAGTTGATTAAGAGAATCAATCAAAATCACTTGCACCCCTGCTTCTAAGTTTTGTGTGCATTTCGTGCATTCCAAGCATTTTGTGTGGTCGTTGGGGGCTTGTGCTTCTGAATATGGACAAACAGGCACAGATAAATTCTATTCCAACTCATTACTGATATAAGCTTGATGGCCCTGAAAAGAGCCGTTTTATTGTAGAGGACATCCATGGCCACTTACGATTGGCGTGTTTAGTGTAGGTGACAGCACATCGGACCTCATTTTCCAGGAACATTTTCAGCACACCTCGTAGATCAGACCGTATAGATACGTTTGACACCGCCACGGCGAGCCAGACGACGGACGGTGGTTATCTTGAAGAACTTTGCGATGACGGTTGGCACCTCCTTTACCAGACCTTTTCCTCCTTTGCCACGACCAGTCAATTGTTGCTTGTTGGGTGTGAAAAAGTGGACTAGCCACCACCTTCCTACTGCTGCTATTGCTGCTCACCACGCCGTCCGAAGCGAAAATGAGCTAATGCCATACAGCAGGGCTCTTGTATATCTTTTCAGGTTAAAGCAGAATGATGTGCAACCAAGTGGTATAAAAGCTACAAAGACTCCTCCCATTATGAGTAGTTTGCTATCAAGTAGCGACACTATGGCTCTTTTCCTTTTGCGTACACGGCGAATGAAAAGGACCCAAATTTGAGTTTAGTTCACTCATAATCGCCAAAAGTGCAGGAACTCAGCGATTAGTAAATTTTACTCATGGTTTCCTGTAGAAAACCTAAAAAATCAGCTAGAAAATGAGGAAATTGACGAAAATTTTATTCAGTCTTGGAGTAGTACAAATAGACTGAGTGAATCCAATCTTTACTTACCTTACCAATCAGGCTAAGGCCTTGTTGTCCTCTGCTGTCCGAAGAAGTCGTCTCCACTCTACTCGATCCATGGCCACAGTTCGCCAGCCTCGTAGTCTGCGAAGGGTCCGCAGGTCACCTTCTATCTAGTCGACCCACCTGGCCCGCTGCGCGCCTCTTCTTCTTGTTCCTGTTGGGTCGCTTTCTAGAACCATTTTCACTGGGTCGTCGTGCGACATTCTTACGACGTGCCCAGCCCACCGTAGTCGCCCAATTTTTGCAATGTGGACGATGGATGGTTCTCCCAGCAGCTGGTGCAATTCGTGGTTCATTCGCCTCCTCCACGTTCCGTCATCCATCTGCACTCCACCGTAGATGGTACGCAACACCTTCCGTTCGAAAACACCAAGGGCGCGTTGGTCCTCCACGAGCATAGTTCAGGTCTCGTGGCCGTAAAGGACCACCGGTCTAATCAGCGTCTTGTAGACAGTCAACTTCGTGCGGCGGCGAATTTTATTCGACCGGAGCGTCCTCCGGAGTCCAAAGTAGGCACGATTCCCTGCCATAATGCGTCTTTGAATTTCTCTGCTGGTATCATTTTCGGCGGTCACCAGTGAGCCCAAATACACGAACTCATCGACCACCTCGATTTCGTCACCGTCAATCTGAACTCGGGGTGGGAGGCTAACATTGTCTTCCCTAGAACCTCTTGCTTTCATGTATTTTGTCTTTGATGCGTTGATGGCAAGTCCAATCCGCCTAGCTTCGGCCTTCAGTCTGATGCACGTTTCCGCCATCGTCTCAAAGTTCCGTGCCATAATGTCGATGTCATCGGCGAAGCCAAGAAGCTGGATGGACTACCTGAAGATCGTGCCACTCGTGTCTATCCCAGCTCTTCTGATCACACCTTCTAACGTGATGTTGAATAGCAGACACGAAAGTCCATCACCTTGCCGTAACCCCCTTCGAGATTCAAAGGGACTCGAGAGTGTCCCGATACTCGAACAACGCACATCACTCGACACATCGTCGCCTTGACCAATCGCGTCAGTTTATCCGGAAATCCGTACTCGTGCATAATCTGCCATAGCTGATCTCGATCGATTTGTGTCGTATGCGGATTTGAAATCGACGAACAAGTGATGCGTTGGCACGTTGAATTCACGGCATTTCTGCAGAACCTGCCGAATCACGAAAATTTAGTCCTTGGCAGCGTGGGCACCCATGAATCCCGCCTGGTATTGCCCCACGAACTCTGTTGCAAATGGTGACAGGCGGCGGCATAGAATTTGCAAGAGTAGAAGTTGCAGTAATCCAACTTGTCGCCCTTTTTGTAGATTGGACATACGACACCTTCCATCCACTCCTCCGGTAATATGTCCTCCTCCCAAATCTTGGCAATTACCCAGTGCAGCGCTCTAGCCACTGCTTTACCACCGTATTTTAATAGTTCACTTGGTAGTTGATCTACACCAGTTGCGCAAAGGTAGCCCTAGCCTTCTTGATTCGTGCACCTATGTCGCTCTTGATTCCGCCGTCCGACGCTATTTGACTGCCAAGATATTGGAAACTTTCGGCCTTCTCCACTATCGTAAAGTTTTAAAGGGTTGCCCGTGTTGACATCCAACGATATGATTTTTGTTGACGAAGTCGCTGAGATGCTCCATGGTGATAGGCTGCCAAAGCAGCCCACGGTTCGGTACACGGTCAATTTCACCCACCATGATCTCGTCGATTACGATGAGGAACAGTAGCGGTGATAGTATACATTCTTGTCTCACACCACCGAGTACCCGGATAGGGTCGGACAAGGCTTCGTTATGCAGAACTCTGCACGTGAACGCCTGATACTGATACGCTTCGATGAGGTTGACGAATTTATCTGGGACTCGCTTGCGTCTCAGGGCGCCCCACAGATTCTCGTGATTGAGCGAGTGCGAACCGAGTGCGAGTTCCTCACCTTGCTCAAAAATGAAGTGGACTATCTGGGATTTGTGATTAGTAATAGCAGTTACCGTTTATCTTCTACAAAGATCCGGGCAGTACAAGACTACCGTGAGCCTTCTAATGTGATAGAGGTACAGGGTTTCTTGGAACTTACGAGCTACTTCCGTAAGTTCATTCCGGGGTACACAATGATCGAAGGATGCACGATATGAGTTCGGGGATCCTCAGCGACCGAGTTTCGAATCGCTGAAACAGTGGTTAGTGTCTGATCCAGTGGCGTCGCCCTAACCTCAATCTACCTGTTCAACAACTCTCAAAACGTAAACAAACAAAACAATATTGGTTTCAATGGATACAAATCCGTGAAACTAGAAGACCCAATGCCTTTTGAAACTGATTTGAATGTAAACATGACTCTAAATAACGTTTTCAAAGTTGTTGAACAGGTAAAAAGTGAGGTTACGCGATGCCACTGGTCTGATCCCGTGTTGCAGATATATTACCCTAATGCCGAGACAAAGGTGCACACTGTGCCTCGAAAGAAGGTTACGGTGCAGTGCTCCTTCAAGAAAAGTGATGATGGCAATTTGCTTCCAGTGTACTATATGAGCCAGCAAACGTCAAATCTGGAGAAGAATTACAGTGCATACCACTTGGAAGTGTTGGCAGTGATAAGAGCCGTAGAGAGGTTTCGTGTTTACTTGTTAGGAGTTCCGTTCAAAATCGTGACGGATTGTGCGGCGTTTCAACACACTTTAAAGGCGAAGCAGCTGGGAGTAGAGATGGGCAATCCGCTCCTGAGTTGTTCTATAGACCCGATTCTCTAAAGTGAGCTGATGACCCGCGGTTCATTTTTTAGGAACTGATATCACAAGTCTGCTTGGAAGAGAGATACATATGTACATGTGCTGTTAATTTTCGATGTTAATTTTCTACTGGTATTTTCCAATTTATTTATGTGTCCGGCTCTTATTGCTGATGTTGTACCTCCAGCATATGTGCTCTCACCTCTCCTCTCATCATTCTCTCGGGGAGCGGAAGATCCGCACAAAAGCAAATAACCGAAAATCGAAATGCAGCTCTCCAGCTTATCAGCTCAGCTCCGGATCCGAATCATCGACTCGAATTATTCACTGGGAGCTGTTTAGGATGACAACTCTCTCGATTCTTCACGATTCAGCTCAATGTGAGCTGAAAAGCTGTTCAAAAGAATCGACTCCCTTTAGTGAGCTGGATAGGTTTGATCCACTCAACCAGATGAGCTGTTTTGTCCATCTCTAGTTGGGAGCCCGTGTGGTGCTTTTGGAGGAGTTTTCCGATACTGTGGAACATCGAGCTGGAACCAGGATGAAGCACGTAGACGTGCCGAGTCGAGCACCATCGGGTGATCCAATTGTTGAAATGATTAGAAGTGCTCAGAATGAAATGATGAAAAATTAAAAGCGATAACCAAGCTGTTGAAGACTCAAACTTTCGATGATTATTTCGAGAGTGACGACACCAAAGCACGACTGTGTTCCCGTTTGAAGCTATGTTTGGGGTACAGATGCGCCACGAAGGTGACGTACGTTTATGTGAGCTATGAGAAGAGATTCGAGTGGCACAGTTTGACGACCAATGGAGCGATATCAGAGCAAAAGCCAGAACAGCAATCGAGAAGGCACAGCGTGATCAACAACGAGCGTACAATTTACGTGCACGGCTGGCACCTACCTATCAAACCGGTGATTTCGTTGCAATCAAGCGAATGCAGTTTGGTTCAGGCAAGATGTATGCGGCCGAATACCTCGGGCAGTGCAAGATTACCAACGTCAAGTCCAACAATCGATACGATGTAGAGAAGGTCAGCGGAGAAGGTCCGACGAAAAGACATCGACGGCAGCGAGTCATCTGAAGTTGTATCAGGTCTGGGGACCAGAACCTTCGCAGGGTGACCGAGTTGTAGAACGTATTTCAAGCTGAACGCATCAGTGAGCTGTGGTCTACCGTGAAATCAACGAGTGTTTTTACGACCGCTATGTGATAATTCGGTCAAGTGAATTAATAACCATATTTTCTCATATACTGAACTGTTTTTTTTTTGTTATAGTCACTTTGACGCTCTTGAGTCATTCGTGACTTGTCCGGGGGTGAGATTTGAACTCGTGACTTTGTCGTGAGAGGTATGGATGCTAACCACTACACCGGGGTCGCCCCCGTTTTGGCAATCCTTTCAATAAATACAGAAAAAATCGTTAATCCATGTGTTTTCCTTACATATACACTACCGATCATAAGTTTAAGGACACCCCCAAAAAACCATGAAAATATGTTTTGTTCAATGATCACTCATTTAACGTTCAATTTTCGATCTCCAAAGGTTATTTGAATGGTTTGAATGGTATTGCATAAGTGTTCTAATGCTACTTTTATTTCAAAATTTGGCCAACCCAATTCTGAGAAAATATTGTAACTTTGGGTGGACTTTTAGCACACAAAATTTGAAAATTATTTTGAACAATTTGCCTACGAGGAAAGTTCCATTCAATACCTTTCAAATTATCTAAAGAGAACGAAAGTTGGACGTAACATGACAGAGATATGAACATGACCAATTTGTCATGTTTTTTGGGGGTGTCCTTAAGCTTATGGTCGGGAGTGTATAAGTTCCAATAAATCTTGATACAGTTTGTGAACAAGCGATCAAACGTGTAGCAAATTGTATAAGAGCACGAAATTTTTCCCATACAGCTCATTTCCCATACAGTCAAATTACTCATAATTTTGTTTATTTCCCTCTCATGACTTAAAAAAGTAAAATTATGATTTTCTCCGGCCTTATCACCTGAATTCATAAAATTCGCAAACATGTTGCTCATTTGATCAACTTCAGAAGCGTTAAATATCAACCTAAAACTCTTCCACTTCAGTTTTTCTTTCCAAAGTAAAAACACCAACAATTCTTCCACTCAAGGTACGAAACAAGTTTATCACCTTATCAGCCTTTTCCGACCTCAATCAGAGTCAGAAGAAACTTAGGCATCCGGAAGTCCAATTAGAGCGACACAGACGGCAAAAGCAGAGAGAGAGAGAGAGAGAGAGAGAGAGAGAAAAAAGCCGTTCAAAGCCAAAGCAGCTTGATTCAGAAGATCCTTTCCGCACATTGCCTTGAATCATTCTTGGAAAGTCCTGATTGCGTCGCCGCCGCCGCCGTCTTGGCCATAATTTTATGAACTGACATTTTTACACCTCTTCGAGCTTCACATGAAGAACATCAAAAGGTGAGCTACTGTGTGCCTGTCGTTTGGAAAACGACAAGATGAAAGATGGAAAACGAAATACGCTGTGGGACTGTGCGAATAAATAAATCATCAATCTTGCCAATTGCCACCCGAGGTGATGTCGGTGACTTTTTGCTTTCGTTATCGAGCATATAAAACTTAGATGAAGTTTAAAAATACTCTGCACGTTACGGACTTCGATATTGCTTGGAATTTTCTTTTTCTTCTTCTTTGGCTTTATTACGACCCGACTGGGAGTTCCACAGTTGTTAATTGAGAGCTTTCGAAGCCCGTACCATTTTTGCATTAGTATAATTGTGTAGTATAATTAGTACAATCATGCTCCCGAAAAATTCCCGGACCGAACCGGGAATCGAACCCAGCCATCACTAGCATGGTCTGCACCCTTTACCGACTAAGCTCAGGGAGGCTTCGAATGTTAGGTAGCCTAAAAAATCCGATGTGCAAGACGTAAATAAATTCGAAAGCATTTCTTTCAATGGGGCTTAATTCTGCTGGTTTCGGACATGGATGGCAACAACCATATTCTGAAAGCCAACAGGCCAAATCTAGCAACGTGTGAGCAAGCAAAACAAGCGATTGGAGCGCATTGGAGCAATGAGAAAAGCAACCTCTGTATGGGATTAGTTCTGACAGGCATGGAAATAAGATTATCCGGCACCGGTACAAGAAGTACGGGCAGCGGGTTTTCCTTTCTTGAACGAGCCTAGGGTGGGGGCATCATTCTCTCAGCTGCCAGTACTGATTTGTTCGCTCGATCGATTATGTTTTGCACGAAATGTTACTTTTCAAACGCATTGGACCGGATGAATAAAGAGAGCAAACGCTCCCGTGCTTCCGAATGGGGTAAGTTTTGTAAACTCTTTAATTCATACGATCCATTGAACAGGAATTGAAAAAATGCCCATTCTCGCATAGATGTATCAACTTCTTCCAGTCTGGATGTTTATATTGGCTTACTTAAACAAACACATCCTCGAACATAAACCATCAAGTAATTCAACTCACTCGACACCACGCGCTGACCTGCTGTATCACGTTCCGAGCTTTTGAGGGATCTTAATCCCAACGCCAATGCAGCCAGCCTTGGGTGCCACGCCACCATGTGTTCGTAACGAGCCATATACCACGTTTATAGGCCATCATTCCGGGAATGACGGCGAAACTCACTTCGATCGGTTTCTGCGTGCGTATATGAGACCATCCCTACCCCAACCTTATATCCTACTGCCTTCGCATAAAATGATGCATTTCCTGCGTGCAGAGGCGTATCATCGCAGCACAGTGGGGCGAGTGCGGACAAAATTTGATAAAAAATAACAGATATTTTTCTATTTTTTTTTACCATAATCTTCATTAAATTGTATTAGGAAATTCAAATTTTAATGCATTTTTGGTCATAACCATTTTCATCTCATTTCCATCTGCTGGTCCATTGCACAGTGGTTCAGAATGCACGTGGAATTATACGTTTAATTTATTTATTTATTTATTATTATTATTATTATAGTCCATCTGACTTGATAGTCTCAATGAAACACTTAAATCTAAATGTAGTCACTAATTAAAAATAAAAAAAAATGGCTGACAGCAAACGATGACGAAACCTGGAGGCATTGATGTCAAAGTCAAATAGGTTAGAGGCTTCGTTGAATTGATGAATCATGGCGACAAAGGAACTTTTTGCAGCATAGTTGGTTGCATGTACTACTTCATGTAGCAAGGTTCTCGGACGGAGTGTTCGGGCAGGAGCATAC